CAAAATGGTCTGGTCCCGATGTGGTCCGATTAACCGGAATCGACTGTATATATATTCACAATCTAATTAAAGATAACGTACCATCAGTACGACGGCGAAATAAACGGGAAAAGAATAACAACATTAAGAAAACTTCTTTTCGGTTTTACACACATTATTTTGGGAATTTTGTGTGTTTTGTAATTTAATGCCCGACGAGACGTAATGCGGTTGAACAGCACTCTCCACTGATGCCGACTGCATCCTATAGCTTCCAACGTTTCTAACCACAGGCAGTCCGAATCGCGTGGTCCCCATCCTAAAAGGCGGACCCGTCCGAGCGATGCTAAGCTTGAGACGGTATTCTTCATGCTCCTTCTCCACGTCATTGGTTGTCCACCGCGACACGTTTTCCAATCGCTTCCGGGGAGCGCAACTAACGCTCGACGGGGTAGGCGCTGGGCCTGCATGCGCAATACGTGGCCAAGCCAACACATGCGGCTTCGGTGAATAACCGTTTGGAGGCATGGGTTGTTTGCTCTAAGAAAGCGCTCTCGGACTGTTGCGTTACTCACGAGAGATTCCACCACAAGCGAGCAATCAAACGCAGACAACGATCCTCGAAATCTGACGATGGTTTTATAACTCCCGTGCGAGTCGGCCATGTCTCACAACCGTACAAGAAGACCGTAAGGATAAAGACAACGTATACCCTGTCCTTGAATTTGAGACTGACGTTGCGATTACGCCTTAAATGTTTCAGGCTGATGAATACAAGGCGGGCGTTTTCGATCCGTTGTGAATTCTCATCTCCAACACAGCCGCCAGCAGTGATGCAACTCGCTAGAGAAGTGAAGCAGTGGATTTGTTCCATAACGTTACCAGCACTGGTGAGGTCTGGCAGCGGCATCTGCCAATCCTGCAGTAGTACTTTATATTTGCCTGGCGTAAAACAGGCCATACCTAGATGCCTCCATCGCTGAGCGGTTCAGAGTGCTGTGGACGGCTGGCGGCTGGTATCCGATCAAAGCGACGTCATCGGCGTAGTCCAAGTCCGCGACTCTGTCACCTGGGAGAAGCTTATTGCCTCAGTTTTGTGGACTTTCCAATGCTCGTTGGACGATATCTTCAGTGCCAAAGTTGAAGAGGAAAGGTGAGATGGGACAACCTTGGCGCACGCCACTGGTGAGAACAAGCGAAGTGGAAAGCGTGCCACAAGCCCTGACTTATCTCGACGTGTGACTGTAGAGATCCTTCAAGATGGTTACAAATTGGCCGGGCACACCTTTCCTTAGTAGCCAGTTTCACAACGCAGGTCTACCTACTGAGTCAAAAGAAGCTCGGATGTCTAGGAACACATCAACTGTTGGCTGTCGATGGACGTGAAGGAATTCAAAGAGTTGGGGGAGTGTGAATATGTGGTCAATGTAACCTTGACGCGGACGGAAACCCGATTGTTCCTCTAGGTAAACGCCTTCTCTAGTCGCTGAGAGCCTGCGGAGTAGAACATATACAAAATTCTTGGAGGCAACAGAGATCAACGAAATTCCGCGGTAGTTGGCGCAATCCTAGCGGGAGCGTTTCTTGTGAATTTGGACAATGACCGATTCTCCCCATGCATTTGGGACTTCCTCGTCAGTTCAAATTCTCGTGAAGTGTGATAGCATTTCATTGACAAGTGCATTCCCGCCATCTGAATAGAGCCGGGGGTAGGCTGCCAGGACCGGGAGCTTTATGACGCTTCAAAGATTGGACTGCGCTGCCGATCTCTGTTTCGGTAGGAGCGTCTGTGGCGATTAGCCAAGCATCATCCGAATTAAACGGAGGAGTCACAGTGGACTGCGCTGAGCAGTTAAATTGGAAAGCAAAGTGCTCTGCCTAGAGACCAAAACTACTGTGTCGGCTGGGGATTTTCGTGCCGTCTGACTCGCAAATCATCTGACTGACAGCGTGTGAATTGCAACCAGTGGTCTTGATGAGGTAAAACAAACTACCGAATTTTTCCAGCCGATGCAGCGGCCTCCATCTCGTTTTGACCACCAGGATTCACGGTCAGAGATGAGGCTTGACTTCAGCTTTTAAGAGATAGACAGACGAAGTTCATTGTGCTCCGCACCTGCGGAATCAGCTCGTCGACGATCTAGCAGTTCCGCGGATCTTACTACAATCCTTCTTCTTGTTGTGCAGCGGGTAAATCAGCAGCTGGAAAAGCCGGCGGACAGCATTGCTTTTTGCAAATTTGACCAGTGTTGATCAACATCCAAAGCATAGGGTAGAGTGAGATTTTCGCGATGCCTCTGTTGATACTGTGTTTTCGCCGTTGGGTCCTCCAACTTGTGAGTGTTGAGTCGGATTGGCTTGACCCTGGGTGAATCGCCGAAACGCACACATATTGTGACACACACCAATGTATGCTCGGTGTTAACAATAGTTGAGCAAAATGATCGGTAATCGCGAACGCTACCGCGCCACCTGATATTTGATCAATTTGTGACCAGTGCTGGGTTGACGATAGAGGACGCCAGGTGACATGGTTGCATCCAGGGTGACGAAAGCTGGTACTGCAAAGGAATAGTGGTCAGCACAAAGACTGAACAGTCTCTCTCCGTTTTATGAGCGAACGTTATCATACGCGTGCGGTCCACCGAGATGGCGTTCATATGGCAGCAGTCGACCACTACGTGCATTTAAGTCTCCCGTCATAACAACCATGTCTGTTTTAGGCGCTGTTAGGAGCAACTCATGAAGATGTTGATAGAAATGGTCCTTGACTGCATCCGAACTGCAGTGAGTAGCGGTGTGGGCGGAGATCACGAAAGCAGCACGCTTACCTGTGCGATGCCTGCTAACGTTACAAGAGCCAAGGAGCCTCACAGCGCATAGGCCACTGTTGACTGGAATCCAGCAAAGGACAGCCTCGGCTCCAGCATTGAGGGTTATTCCAACACTAGTTTGCTCAGATGCGGCGGACCCAGCGTCACCAGAAAGGCGAAGGTAAAAGTGAGTATGCGGCTGGACTGGTGACGACAGCTCGTAGACTGTGTTGGGATGCTGCAGTCGGGTTTCACTCAGGCAGCAGACATCAATTTCAAGGGTCTCCAGAGTGCCTGCAGGTCCAGCTTGCTGTCCAATCTGCAATAATGTACGCACGTTGAGAGTTGCCAGTTTGAAGTGGATTCCAGGTGACAGTAGTGAATATGGCAGATTTCGGGGCTGGTAACACCCTGTCGAGCACTTTGTAGTTAAGTTGATGGGTGGCGAGAAAATAAATTCATCGGCGGAGGTTGGGTTGTTCACATTTGAAGAACCAAGTAACAATGGGATGAGTGATACAAGGAAATAGTATGTACATTGGTGGCGTGTGTTCGTAAAGTTGGCGTAGTCGTAGGACAGTGGATGGTCAGAGCTAGGAAGTCGTATTTGCGCGTAGCCATGGTTCCTCAGTATGCGGAATACTACTAGGTTGCCTAGGCGGAAGTAGTTGGGTTGTCTTAGGGGACCACGGCCCCGAGCTTTTGGCCGAAAGGCCTAACCTACAAGGCAGCAGTGTGAACTAATGGTTTCGCACCCGTTGGTAGCCGGTGACTGACGATTCAATTCCTACGCCTTTCGGATGACGAAAGCTATACCAGGTACCCCACACTCCCTAACGCAAAGGCAGAATCCAATGCTCGGATTACTTGCCGATACACGATGTCTCCGAGAAGACAAGGGGCAGTGACTTCATTTAGTGGCGTGTCACATCCGCCACGTCAGTGTTGTTAAAAAAAGTCTGTATGGCTTTTATAGGGAGAACGCTTGCCAGGCATATACCCAGCACGTTCTGGAACACAGCCGCCGACCCATTCCTCGGAGTGGGATATACCCTAGCCGCCCAGGTCGCACCACGAGAGGGTTGTTCGGCAAACCAACCTCATGCATGCAAGGTCGTGCGTGAATCCATTTCGGACTGATCGCAGCAGTCCGTTACACTTCTCTAGCGCTAGACGGCGTGGCTAGACAGAGTTGTGTCCGTTGTGGTACATTACAGTCACGCTCGCCATGTACGCGCAAATGCTTTACGGCAGTTCGTAACCACAGTTATATGGGAAGCTGATAACTGATGCTACCGACAATAGCAGTTCACAACCTGTTGTTGCACACCTTCCCAACTGCATTTAATGGTAAGCATGGGGACATGAGTAACGCTCTTCCAATTACTAAGCTGGAATAATGACTGAAAGCTCCACAGTACTATAGCCCATTAAAACAGATCCGTGGTGAGACAGCCTAGAAAATAAAAGGAGCAAGTCGGTGCCGCAAATTGGGTCCATCCTTTTCCCCAGTCCAATGAACGATGAACTTTGGATTCGTGCGGGTTTAGGAGCACCGCTTTACAAGTCCGGTTGAGTGGTTTGGTTGGGTTAGCGAAAGATAATAACAATACACACACTACTTTAAGTATGAAAAGTGGCAGTTATCGTTTAGTAGGCTATAGCCCTGCAGTCCGTGCAGCTTCACAGTATCCTGACGATGAGTCACTTTTGGCTACTACCTGACTCTTAGCACTATCATAGGAAGAACAAAATGTTAACCAAGCTTCCACACACACCCATATACTAAAGATTGCTTCTGTCCCATAACGTAGGACACACGGAAAACGACTGCCCTTCACATTCGTGCGTCGTCTCGTTCCAGATTTTGAATTTTTCCTGCCCGTTTGACCCCGTATCTTCGCTTCAGTAAATCATATTCTGACCAGCCTTGAGTTGTTCTAAGGCTCTTGATTAGCTTGATCGCGGTTACATTGCAGTGATAAAGACATAAATGTCCGATTTAATGTCCTTGCAAGCAATACGTCCTCTGTTCGCTTTAGTTGAAGCTCGCTACCATTCGTAGCCAGCGATCCGTTCTCCGCTCGTTTAGTGCATTGCACAGTCTGATTGCGTTCATGTTGCTTGTGCTTATTTCTGTCCTATCTTCCGTATAGTCATTGCCTTCCTCACCCATATGCTATAGTACTCATGTTTCACTTTCCACAGTTCAACGGAATAGAAGAAGTTCAACAAGCAGAACACCTTGAGCTGAGTGAGCTCTATATTGAAGTCAGTTGGTTGCAACGTGAAGTTTCACACAAAATAGATAGACTCAGTAAGTCCTAGTGCAGCATTCTGCTCCCTAACTGAGAAGAATTCGGAACAGACTCCATGTACTTTGTAAATCGATCCATGACTAGGAAGAATTTTGAGCCTAATTTGAAAGGCTTTTTATATGCTTTGAGGTATGTATTATGTGGAACGAATGAAATGCTAGATTAATTTAAAGTCAACACCTCCACTCATGCTATTCACGTTTCGGTAAGTTGTGCTAAAACTATCTTACCTAGGTCGGATTCTGCAGAGGACCGTAGAGAGTGTCTTTCTGTCGTCAGGGATGCAATCGTGGCGTGGCTTTATATGCAGTATAATCATGCGTTTCGGCTGAGCTTCATACGAACAAAATCCGGGTCAAACGTGACTTGGGTTTTATGCGAACACTCCAAAAGTGGTATGGATAGTTCGTATGCATCTTGAGGCCGCTAGTTGGCCAATGAGTTTCAACCAACTGGGTTTAGACGTAATTAGTAATGATACAGCGTGCACTGTACTTTTCTATATGCTTCAAGATATACAGTGAAGTTCAGTCGATTTAGGCTGTATTAGATTTTTAACCAACTTATATACGGTCACAATGTGTGTCAGCATCGATATTGCTTTTTTGTTGTTATCGGTATGGCTGAAGGTGTGTGCGAACATTAAGTACCTCGGTGGATAAAGGTGATCGAATTTCATTTAAAATCTGTCTATTTAGACGTTTGGCGACAGAGGAAGGAAATACAGGAGCTCCAAGTATTAAAGGGGGATAGGACGAGCGGTGAGACGCGGAACTACCAGAAGACACAGGGTTATGCACCCGTTGGGGTAAACCATTAGGCAGCAGACCGGCAGAAGAAACTGGGGAAAGTACGCTAATTGATAGCTTAGGGTCAGCCTGTCGTCGAACACAGATCTATGGTAGACCTGGGTCATACCACGTGGAATATCATCCTTCCTCTAGTAGGTAGGCAAGTCAAGTCAAGGAAAGCGTTATGCACCTATCTAGATTAGGTGTATAAAATGAACAAACGTTCCATCTAATGAATTCAGCCAATGTGGAAAACGAATTCCTAACTATTGAGGATCCGAGCAGTCGTATGAAATTCGGTTATCTGTGGAATAAGGTCAATAGAGATGACGGGTGCTGAAGGTAGTAAAGAAACCATCTCTTTATTAGCGTCGTTTAATCGAGCTACAGCTAATTATTGATGATCACGCGTTATTGCTCAAGTGCAGATTTCCAACCTCGAATTGTTACTTAGGGCATTTAGAGTTTATGTCCGGTCGGCACTTCGCCTTTCATTTTAATTATCATCCGTAGGGTAATTGCGATTACACGGCAGCAAAGTATCTGTGGACTGTACTTTTACAACACTATTGGTGCTGATGACAATTGTCGCAGAAGAAAAAGACCATTTCAGAGAAGTTAACAGTACATTTGGCACACAGAATGCTTTGGTTTAAATTGTCTGTGTACTTCCATACACAACGTCATTTTAGGGACGATGCGGTTTCACTTTTGACTCAGTTAAACAAAGTTCTAGGAGCACATTGTGGCGCACAGGAATTTCAGCCAATCATGGTGGAATGGTCGATTCCGTCAGGCTGGACTTCCATTGGATCCATCTGTACACTGATGGCAAAGTTCCGCCATAACAATATCTTGGAACAAATTTGAAACCGATCGGGAAGTCATCATTTCAGAAAACTTGGTAGACGACCGGTTAATGTATTTATGGTGATATACAACGTTTCGCTTTTGACACAAAAGCTTCATCAGTCCTGAAGCATGCATTAAACGGTCCTCTACCAAGTTTTCTGAAATTCCGCCATAACACTTATGGTTGGCCTTCTAACAGGACACTCCTATTCCTGTCAAATGTGAGGAAACCTAATCAGGTTGGGCAGACAGCATCACACTATTATTAGGAAAAGTTTAAGTGATAAAGGTTATTACGACATTTAAGTGGCAGAATATATGCACAATGTTGAATATTATTTCTCCGGAGTACCCACAATCTCATTAAATGAAGACTATGGACGTCAGCCATTTGGCATGCATAGCTCGAAGCTTGTCATAGCCGCCTTGTGTGGGCGAAAACATGATGGGAAACCGCTTCGCTACCCAATTCCTTCGGTGCTTCCAACATGGTGCCAGTTTATACTGAATCCGGGTTTGTGTTGGACGGTGGCTGAAAGGATTACACATTTGCCGTGTAATCCGGAGATCATCGTCTCGGTTCCGCGTAGGTGAGGGTGACCTCACTGTATAAAGTCCACGTGCGTCTGCTAGTGGTCAACTGACAGCGAAGCGTCGGTACGGTGTGCCGGCGTACGACTGATGCCCGTTTGCCGTTATGAGAAACACTTAAACTATTGTATTTACTTTGTACAGAGGTGAAAATGTGGATCGATCAACATGGACCGGTGTCCGGACAAGCTCTGCGCACGTACTCCGAGGAGCTATACTTCCATACAGCGCAGACATGTAGGAAGAATCCCATAGCAAAGGCTTTGCACTACTGCCAAATAGATGGTGACAAAGAAAATGTATGCTCCAATAAAGAACTCCTTGAAGTAAGTGGATATTGAAACTTTGCCAACCAAGTATGAGGTTAGGTATTTAGTTCCTTCAAAGATCACTCCTTAAGGTATCATTCTAGCCCTTTGTCACCGCTATCATTCTCCAACTAATTTTGTTATCCTAAACATAGCCTGAAGGGTTCTTGTTGTCTTTTCCACGAACCTTTTAGGGAGATGATCAATCAATGTTGAGCTCCGATCGAGGTATAAATTAGCTGAATACTCAATACTGAATACTGTATGTGGGAGCAAATAGAACTATAGATATGCGCAACTCCATCGCAATATAGACGAAAATGTTATAAAATGTGTCTTCACTCCGTGACAATCAAATTGTTCGACAAGTTCTAATGTAGCACTTTAGAAGAGCCGACTTAGAGTATCACAGTTTTACCAGGTTTCACAAATGCACGATGTCATGGCTAGGGTGGAATCGTTCCCTAAATCGAATGGGGCTGAAATGTAAATCCAATAACGTTTTGAACTGTTGTACAGATTTAGCCTCCACGACTTGTTCTGGCAGACTGTTCCAAGCATTTACCGCTCTCTGTTCGTAGCACAGGGAGTGGGGTATTCGTTTTAAATCCGGCACCACAAGGTTGTACCGGTGTCCGCGTGTGTTGCATAGCCCTCGCAAATGAAGCAGTGGCTTTAAACTGGGAAGCCACCGAGAAATAATATACGGTAGGTCATTAGGAGATGGACTCGCGCCCGACGACAAGACAAGGTGTGGAGTCCGAGTTTCTAGCACCGATCTTGGTACGACAATTCCCGTAAACCTAGAAAGAGCCTGGTAGCGACGTGTTGAACTCGTTCGATCTTCTGTGCCTCGCCTCGGGTGATTGGGCAGTAGGCAGATGAGTCGTACTACATTGTTGGTCTTATGATAGAAGAGAAAAGGCGAGTGGCGACCTCTTCAGACCAAGTACAGAAAATGCGTTTGATCGCCCAAGGTATGCGCAGTCCGTTTCGATAGAGTCTGTGCGTGTTGTCAACGGACTTCAGATAGTAGCGCGAGAGTTCACCTAGGTCATTCACGGAGGGTGTGGCATATAGCGATTGTCCGTCAAAGGTGTAAATTCGGCCATCAGAACTCTTACCCACGCTCAGAAATGCCGAATTAGATGGGTTGAACGCGAGACGAACTTCCGCAGACCATATGGAGAGGCTGCTGGGGTGTTACTTTCTCTCCAAATCTTCAGGTTGTCCGCAAACAGGACACACAGAGATCGAAGAAGCAAAGTATATCGTTAATGTGGATTAGGAAGAGAGTGGGCCCCAGCAAAATGCATTGGGCTACTCCACTATACAATTTCCCGGCAAGTTGTCCTCATGGGCAACATGAGTAATCTGAACTGCCAAGGAGTTGCGCTGAGCAGCATACAACATGAGTCTACTCAATTGATTTGAGCCGTGCGTACGCCGCTTACTTGTGCAGGTGTGTAAGTGTGCGTGTATACCCCGTCGCCTTCAGCCAATTGGATCTCAGACGCACTAAATCATAGGGTGCAGGTGGGACGCTTCAGCTCCTACCAGGGACAGTGTCGCTGGCCCATGCACTGGGTTGGCATTTGTTCCTCTGTCCTAGGAAGCGATTCCCACCAATTAGAACGAGAGTAGGGGTTCGAATGACGATTGGGTTGGTATAACGAGCCACAGCCAAATAAGTTTGTCGTATGCTTTTGAATGTGCAGTTCAAGTAAACGCAACCGTTGGCCTGTATGGTCGGCACTCGAGGGAGGTGAAGAACCTCGTACTGAAAGCGTACGAGGAAGGACACTCACGGCCTGACGATCACGAACACTCGGTTTGCACTGAGTGCGAGTGATATAGCAACTTGGACGCACCCACGGAGTGGTCACGCTCACCTGCTCGACTATGTCATCGTACGTCAGCGTGATATGCGTGAAGTGCGCATGACACGTGTACTGCGTGGAGCTGAGTGTGGCACTGATCACAAATTGGTTCGGACCAAACTGTACATATATTTTCGTAAATCGATGTATTGCACTCCCGCCGTGAATCGGCGTAAATTTAACATTCTCTCCCTCGGCACTGTGGCGAAACGTACTGAGCTGGAGAAGGCGATGGCTGCACGCCTGTGTGATGTGGAATGCATAGCCACAGTGGGCGACCTGTGGCACCACATTCGCGACCAGGTGACAGCTGCTGCCGAGGAGACCATTGGGCGCGCAAACTGTAAGCGGCCTGATTGGTTTGATGACAACAATATGATGATTGGCGCATTGGTGTCAGAGAAGAATGCAGCATTTGCTGCACATGTTGCAGACCCCAGTGACTTGGGGAAGAGTAGTTGTTTTCGCAAACAAGGACGGCGACTGACCCGAGAGCTCCGTCGCATTAAAAATGCATGGTGGACGGAGAAGGCGAAGCAGATGGAATGCTACGCCGAACGCCGTCAACACAAGGAATTCTTCGGCTCCTTGAAGGCGGTGTATGGACCGAGATTGGAGCAGCTGAGGACACTGATCGATGGTAGTTCAGGCGCTACCTGCACACAGACTGCAGACATAATGCAGATCTGGCGGAAACACTTTGCTTGTCTCTTGAACAACCGTTCAGAGATCGATTGGCCTACATTGAACGGCCTGAAGCAGCACGATGTGAAGGCGGATCTGGCGGATACGCCGAGACTGGATGAGACGCAGAGAGCACTTGCTCAGCTGCGAAACGACAAATGTGCCGGAGGTGACGGGATCCCACCTGAAGTATTGAAACACGGTGGACCCGCGTTGTTGATTGCGCTGCACCACTTGGTGCAACGCGTATGGATTGAGGAGGAGGCGCCTTCTGAGCTGAAGGACGCCCTTGTCCTAACACTGCACAAGGGCAAAGGAGGCAAGCAATGTTGCACGAATTATCGTGGCATCAACTTGCTGAGTTGTGTGGGCAAGTTTTTTGCCCGAATCATGCACACCAACCTCGTCATTCAGGTTTTGGAACCGAAGGTGGCGAAACAGTAGTGTGGATTCCGTTTGGCTCGCAGCACTATAGATATGGTGTTTGCCGCTCGTCAGTTGCAAGAGAAGTGCAGAAAACGACACCAGCCATTGTACTCGCTTTTTGTTGATTTCACCAAGGCATTTGATACGGTGAACCGCGAGGCATTGTGTTTGGTTTGGGTAAGTTTGGTTGCCCGCGTAAGTTTGTAAGTTTAATTGAATGTCTGCAGAGTGATATGCGAGCGAGGGTGCAGCTGAGTGGAGAGACCTCGGATGACTTTGCAGTTGTCTCTGGTGTGAAGCAAGGCTGTGTGTTAGCTCTTGCCCTGTTTAATATCTATCTTCATGCAATGTTGTCTTGTGCTTTTGATGCGGCTTGTGCTTACGGTGTTCGTGTGGAGCACCGTATTGATGGTGTGTTGCTGAACATCCGTCATTTCGGTGCGAGAACTCTAGTCTGTGAGACAACTATCCGTTTGTTGCTGTTTGCTGACGACTGTGCGTTGTTTGCACACAGCGCGGATGAGTTGCAGCACATGGCTAATGCTCCGGCTTCGACAGCAACAAAATTTGGGCTCACCATCAACACAAGCAAAACTGTCTGTCTCTTTCAGCCTTCACCGGAGGTGCAATCCTCAATATTGCCGCGAATCAGCATTGTTGCCGAAGTATTGGAAACCACCTCCCGTTTCAGCTACCTTGGGAGTGTGATATCGACTGATCAGCAGCTACACGTTGAGTTGCGTATTCGCCTGTCGAAGGCAGCAACGGCATTTGGGAAGCTAGAGTACCGAGTGTGGAGCAACCATCAGCTTACCGTTGGCACGAAGCAGATGGTGTACAAATCCATGGTACCGTCCGTTCTTCTATACGGCAGTGAAACGTGGACGATGTACCGTCGGGATGTGCGATATCTCGAGCGGTTCCATCAGCAGTGTCTACGACGAATTTTGCGGATCGGCTGGGGCGCCAGAGTTGCAGACACTGAAGTGTTGCAACAAAGTGGAATGTATGCAGTGCACTGCATACTTTTATTGAGACACCTGAGATGGCTTGGTCATGTGTGGCGCATGGATTCGACTCGGATACCGAAACAACTCTTATACGGTCAGCTGAGTATAGGGAAGCGGCATGCTGGGAAACCCAAGTTACGTTACCAGGACATGATTAAAGTGAGCCTCACACGTTCTAATCTTGATTGCAGATCATGGGAATCGAAGGCGGTTGATCGGCGTGCATGGCGCGATCTAATCACGAAGGCAGTTGCTGAAGTGCGGGAGAAATCCCTCATGCATGCAGAGAAGAAGCGGCAGTTGCGGAAGCGGCAAGCACCGATAAATTGTACTCCATCGACATCGAGCGCATGGTGCTGTACAACATGCGGTCGCGGGTGCCTTAGTCAGGCAGACCTAGTGATCTATGACAGAGGTCACTCGAGACCACTGCCGAAGCGACGACGGGTCGCGCAGTGAACGTAGGCAGCAACGGCGCAGCGTTTGTAGGCACGCTGAATTCGATTTACTAACCGCATGCTTGCAAGCTAAGTCTCTTTATTTCAGGTGGTGGGTTTTCGGTTCTCTCCTAATGCCTTTCTTTCTCATATAAACGTCTAGTGGGTCATGAGATAGGCCCTTTGGGGCCACTACAGAAGCGACGACGGGTCCTGCAGAGAATTACGGCGAGCCGGCGCAGCGTTTGTAGGCACGCTGAATTCGATTTACTAACCGCGTGCTTGCATGCTAAGTCTCTTTATTTCAGGTGGTGGGTTTTCAATTTTACCTTAATGCTTTTCTCTCTCATATAAATATCTCCCTGTACTCTATTCCATTAACTTGCGCACATCGATTAAGCCAACTGTATTAGACTTCCATAACATTTTTGTGTTCGTGGCATTCCGTGAACTATACTATCTGACCTCATGCACTTAGCTAGGATTTGTTTGTAAACAACTTATTACATATGCTATTTAATTAAGGTTTATATCACAGTTTCCTTATGCATTAATCGAGCTTTTCTCTACTCTTTTCTCTC